CACACATACCATGCTCCCTTCAGTGCACACATACCAAGCTCCCTTCAGTGCACACATACCATGCTCTCTTCAGTGCTCACATACCAAGCTCCCTTCAGTGCACACATATCATGCTCCCTTCAGAGCACACATACCATGCTACCTTCAGTGTACACATACCATGCTCCCTTCAGTGCACACATACCAAGCTCCCTTCAGGGCACACATACCATGCTCCCTTCAGTACACACATACCATGCTCCCTTCAGTGCTCACATACCATGCTCTCTTCAGTGCACACATACCAAGCTCCATTCAATGCACATATTCCATGTTCCCATCAATGCACACATACCATGCTCCCTTCAGTGCATGCATGCCATGCTCCCTTCAGTGCACACATACGATGCTCCCTTCAGTGCACATATACCATGCTCCCTTCAGTGCATGTATACCATGCTCCCTTCAGCGCACACATCCCTTTCTCCCTTCAGTGCACAGATACCATGCTCTCTTCAGTGCACACATCCCATGCTCCCTTCAGTGTAAACATACCATGCTCCCTTTGGTGTACACATACTAAGCTCTCTTCAGTGCACACATCCCATGCTCCCTTCAGTGCACACATGCCATGTTTCCTTCAGTGCACAGATACCATGCTGCCTTCAGTGCACATATCCCATGCTCCCTTCAGTGCACACATCCCATGCTCCCTTCAGTGTACACATACCATGCTCCCTTCAGTGAACACATACCTTGCTCCCTTTAGTGCACGTATCCCATGCACCCTTCAGTGCACACATACCATGCTCCGCTTCAGTGCACCCACACCATGCTCCCTTCAGTGCACACATACCATGGTCCCATCAGTGCACACATACCATGCTTCCTTCAGTTCACCCATACCATGCTCCCTTCAGTGCACACATCCCATGCTCCCTTCAGTGCACACATCCCATGCTCCCTTCAGTGCACATATACCATGCTCCCTTCAGTGCACACATACCATGCTCCCTTCAATGCACAGATACCATGCTCCCTTCAGTGCACACATCCTGTGCTCCCTCAGTGTACACATACCATGCTATCTTCAGTGCACACATACCATGCTATCTTCAGTGCTCACATACCATGCTCCATTCAGTGCACACATCACATGCTCCCTTTAGTGCACATGTACCATGCTCCCTTCTGTGCACACATGCCATGCTCCCTTCAGTGCATGCATACCATGCTCCCTTTAGTGCACACATCCCATGCTACCTTCAGTGCACACATACCATGTTCCCTTCAGTGAACACTTACCATACTCCCTTCAATGCACACATACCATGCTTCCTTCAGTGCACCCATACCATGTTCTCTTCAGTGCACACATCCCATGCTCCCTTCAGTGCACACATCGCATGCTCCCTTCAGTGCACACATACCATGCTTCCTTCAGTGCACCCATACCATGCTCCCTTCAGTGCACACATCCCATGCTCCCTTCAGTGCACACATACCATGTTCCCTTCAGTGAACACATATCATACTCCCTTCAATGCACACATACCATGCTCCCTTCAGTGCATGCATACCATGTTCTCTTCAGTGCACACATCCCATGCTCCCTTCAGTGCACACATCGCATGCTTTTTTCAGTGCACACAAACCATGCTCCCTTAAGTGTACACATACCTTGTTCTTTTCAGTGCACACATACCATGCTCGCTTCAGTGCTCACATCCCATGCTCCTTTCAGTACACACATACCGTGCTCCTTTCAGTGCATGCATACCATGTTCCCTTCAGTTCACACATACCATGCTCCCTTCACTGCACACATACCATGCTCCCTTCATTGCACACATACCATGCTCCCTTCAGTGCACACATTCTATGCTCCCTTCAGTGTACACATACCATGCTATCTTCAGTGCACACATCCCATTCTCCCTTCATTGCACATGTACCATGCTCCCTTCAGTGCACACATACCATGCTCCCTTCAGTGCATGCATACCATGCTCCCTTCAGTGCACATATCCCATGCTCTCTTCAGTTCACACATACCATGCTCCCTTCAGTGCACACATACCATACTCCCTTCAGTGCACACATACCATGCTTCCTTCAGTACACCTATATCATGCTCCCTTCAGTGCACACATCGCATGCTCCCTTCAGTGCACACATACCATGCTCCCTTCAGCGCACACACATACCATGCTCCCTTCAGTACACACATACCAATCTCCTTTCAGTGCACACATACCATGTTCCCTTCAATGCACACATACCATGCTCCTTTCAGTGCACACATACCATGCTCCCTTCAGTGCATGCATACCATGCTCCCTTCAGTGCACATATACCATGCTCCCTTCAGTGCACACATTCCATGCTCCCTTCAGTGCACATATCCCATGCTCTCTTCAGTGCACACATTCCATGCTCCCTTCAGTGCACACATTCCATGCTCCCTTCAGTGCACATATCCCATGTTCTCTTCAGAGCACACATGCCATGCTCCCTTCAGTGCACAGATACCTTGCTCCCTTCAGTGCACACATCCCGTGCTCCCTTCAGTGCATGCATCCCATGCTCCCTTCAGTGCACAGATACCTTGCCCCCTTCAGTGCACACATCCCGTGCTCCCTTCAGTGCATGCATCCCATGCTTCTTTCAGTGAACACATACCATGCTCCCTTCAGTGCATGCATAACGTGCTCCCTTCAGTGCACACATTCCATGCTCCGTTCAGTGCACACATACCATTCTCCCTTCAGTGCACACATCACGTGCTCCCTTCAGTGCACACATTCCATGCTCCGTTCAGTGCACACATTCCATGCTCCGTTCAGTGCACACATACCATGCTCCCTTCAGTGCACACATCACGTGCTCCCTTCAGTGCACACATTCCATGCTCCGTTCAGTGCACACATACCATGCTCCCTTCAGTGCACACATACCATGCTCCCTTCAGTGCACACATCACGTGCTCCCTTCAGTGCACACATTCCATGCTCCGTTCAGTGCACACATACCATGCTCCCTTCAGTGCACACCATACCAGCTCCCTTCATGCACACATCACGTGCTCCCTTCAGTGCACACATTCCATGCTCCGTTCAGTGCACACATACCATGCTCCGTTCAGTGCACACATCCCATACCTCCTCCAGTGCACATTCCGTGTAGTCTTCAGTACACATGTCCCATGATTCCCGCCAGTACTTCACATATTGTGTGTTCCATGCCAATATGACGAATGTTCCGTGTTCCATGCCAATATGACGAATGTTCCGCGTTCCCTGCTAATTTGACGCATGTTCCATATTCCTTGCCATTACCACACATGTTCCATGTTCCCCGCCAGTACTACACATGTTCCGTGTTCCCTGTCGGTACTGCACATGTTCCATGTTCCTTGTCAATACTACGCATGTTCCGTGTTCCCTGCCAGTACCACATATGTTCGGTGTTCCCCGCCAGTACTACACATGTTCCGTGTTCCCTGCCAGTACCACATATGTTCGGTGTTCCCCGCCAGTACTACACATGTTCCGTGTTTCCTGCCAGTACCACATATGTTCGGTGTTCCCCGCCAGTACTACACATGTTTTGTGTTCCTTGTCAATACCACGCATATTTCGTGTTCTCTTCCAGTGCCAAACATCTTCCTTGTTCCCTCCTATACAAACATAATGCTCCGTACTACCAACAGTCCCACTTAATGCTCCGTACTACCAACGGTGCCACATAATGCTCCGTACCACAAACAGTGCCACATAATGCTCCTATCTCCAACAGTGTTACATAATTCTCCGTACCACCAACAGTGCCACATAATGCTCCCTACCACCAACAGTGCTACATAATGCTCCTTACCACCAACAGTGCCACGTAATCCTCCGTACCGCCAACAGTGCCACATATTGCTCCCTACCACCAACAGTGCCACATAATGCTCCTTACCACCAACAGTGCCACGTAATCCTCCGTACCGCCAACAGTGCCACATATTGCTTCCTACCACTAACAGTGCCACATAATGCTCCCTACCACCAACAGTGCTACATAATGCTCCTTACCACCAACAGTGCCACGTATCCTCCGTACCCGCCAACGTGCACATATTGCTCCCTACCACTAACAGTGCCACATAATGCTCCCTACCACCAACAGTGCTACATAATGCTCCTTACCACCAACAGTGCCACGTAATCCTCCGTACCGCCAACAGTGCCACATATTGCTCCCTACCACTAACAGTGCCACATAATGCTCCCTACCACCAACAGTGCCACGTAATCCTCCGTACCGCCAACAGTGCCACATAATGCTCCCTGCCTCCATAGTGCCACCAACAGCGCAACAAATAATGATCCCTTCCATGAGCAGTGTCACATATAATTCGCAGTGCCATCAGCAGTGTATCACTTAATGCTTAGTGATTGCCACACACATATTGTTCTTGTCAACAACAGTGCCACACATATTGTTCTTGTCAACACAGTGCCACACATGATGTTCTTGTCATCAACAGTGCCACACATATTGTTCTTATGAACAACAGTGCCACACATAATGCTCTTGTAACATTAGTTCCACACATAATGTTTTTGTCAACAACAGTGTCACACATAATGCTGCATGCCATCAACAGTGCCACATAATGCTCCCTGCCTCCATAGTGCCACCAACAGCGCAACAAATAATGATCCCTTCCATGAGCAGTGTCACATATAATTCGCAGTGCCATCAGCAGTGTATCACTTAATGCTTAGTGATTGCCACACACATATTGTTCTTGTCAACAACAGTGCCACACATATTGTTCTTGTCAACACAGTGCCACACATGATGTTCTTGTCATCAACAGTGCCACACATATTGTTCTTATGAACAACAGTGCCACACATAATGCTCTTGTAACATTAGTTCCACACATAATGTTTTTGTCAACAACAGTGTCACACATAATGCTGCATGCCATCAACAGTGCCACACATAATGCTACGTGCTATCAACAGTGCCGACGGTGATGATCGAGGGTCGTGGCGAGCGTCACATACAGAAGGGCAGCATACTAGCAGTGACGTGCGTGGTGCGTCATGCACCACACTCAGCACCAGACCACATTCTCTGGTTCCATGGATCAACTAACATTGACTACGACTCCTCCAGGGGCGGAGTCTCTATCCAGGTAGGTCACCACGAGGGCTTTGTATTTCTTTATAACCTTTGGCTACACATGCAGGGTGTGGATATCTAGTTTATATGTGGCTAGAAGTTATGAGTACTTGTCAGCTTCTGTGATGATGAGGTTGGTATGTTGGATTTGCTGCGCCTGCAGTAATAGTCTGGTTGATCAGGCCCTGATCCACTGAATGGCCTTGTCATGGACGGGGCTGAGGGGAATTGATTACCGGAATACCCTCTAGGTAGCCTGAAGTATGGCCTTCATACATGATGCAAGGAAATTCCTCAGCCTGAGTTTGGAAACTTTGGCCAGAAAAGAGAGAGAGAGAGAGAGAGAGAGAGAGAGAGAGAGAGAGAGAGAGAGAGAGAGAGAGAGAAGAGAGAGAGAGAGAGAGAGAGAGAGAGAGAGGAGAGAGAGAGAGAGAGAGGGAGAGAGAGAGCTGGCTCCAACTTCGTTCTGTTCCCTATTTGTAAGTCTCATAACAATGACATGACTTTAAAAGGAGCTAATGAAGGTAACCAACTCCAAGGCTGAGGGACTGATTACCTCATCTTTTGTATATAGTTCTACTGTCTTTTAATTATGTCCTAGAATCTGTATTGATAAAGCCACTGGATGGCGAAACGTCTACAATGAAGATATCCAGATGTTGCACATGTGTCTGAACTTTCACCTTGCCGGTACTGTATACCGTTCTTGTACAAGGTAACTACTGTTAGCTTGTAAACAAAGTTATGTGTGGAAAATCTGTGGTTCCCTGTTATTCCTAAATCTTGAGGGGAGGGAGGTTAAGAGAGGAGATAAGGGGTGGGTCTGTTATTCTAATGGGCCTGTATACACAGGTGCCACATCTTTTCCTATCAATCCCTTACTCATAAGACTAATATCGTGATGAAGCCTTAACAGACTAATATTTAATCTCTTTTATAAGTACATAAATTAACGTATAATTAGCATGTAAATTAAGTAGCCTAGTATATATGATTACCTCCATCTTTACACCACAATTACACCTCCACTTACTCCACAATTGCACCAGTGCCAACTCCTTGAGTGACATAGCCTACCGGACTAAGAGAGAGGCAGTAGCATACAAACAGCCACAACGACAGGCCTCAAATCCTTGTGTCTGGCTAACTCAGGTGTATTTCGTGGTGTGCCAAAGGGATTTATGACCCATACTGTACACGCCAAAGGTGGTAAGTGCTTGTTATCAGCACAATTGAATAATAATAATAATAATAATAATAATTATAATAATAATAATAATAAATATATATCTTTATTTCTACCAAGTACATGTACAAGGTATACAGATCATAGCTGACATCAGTGACATACTACTATATAGAAAGCCGCTAGTTATGCTGAGCATTTCCCGCAAATTACGTCAGTTTTGTCCCGGGATGCGACCCACACCAGCCGACTAACACCCAGGTACTCACTTTACTGATGGGGAACATAGACAACCGGTGTAAGGAAACACGCCCATTGTTTCTACCCTTTCCGAGAATCGAACCCGGACTCTCGCCGTGTGAAGCGAGAGCTTTTGCCAGAGGGATGTGGATGGCCGTATAGTTATGTCAAGGTGCCACACTCAGCTACACTTGGTGGACAGTCAGAAAAGCTTCTACACAATCAGACAGACAGCAAACGGCTACTACGCTCCAGGAATGACTCAAGTCTGGAACAAGTTTTTACAGCATAAAGATTGAAAGTTTTAACCAAACCTTGTATAAGAGAGAGAGAGAGAGAGAGAGAGAGAGAGAGAGAGAGAGAGAGAGAGAGAGAGAGAGAGAGAGAGAGAGAGAGAGGGAGGGAGAGAGAGAGTGTGTACTCACCTAGTTGAGGTTGCAGGGGTCGAGTCCAAGCTCCTGGCCCCGCCTCTTCACTGGTCGCTACTAGGTCACTCCCCCTGAACCGTGAGCTTTATCATACCTCTGCTTAAAGCTATGTATGGATCCTGCCTCCACTACATCGCTTCCCAAACTATTCCACTTCCTGACTACTCTGTGGCTGAAGAAATACTTCCTAACATCCCTGTGATTCATCTGTGTCTTCAACTTCCAACTGTGTCCCCTTGTTGCTGTGTCCCATCTCTGGAACATCCTGTTTTTGTCCACCTTGTCAATTCCTCTCAGTATTTTGTATGTCGTTATCATGTCCCTCCTATCTCTTCTGTCCTCCAGTGTCGTCAGGTTGATTTCCCTTAACCTCTCCTCGTAGGACATACCTCTTAGCTCTGGGACTAGTCTTGTTGCAAACCACTGCACTTCCTCTAGTTTCTTTACGTGCTTGGCTAGGTGTGGGTTCCAAACTGGTGCCGCATACTCCAATATGCAGAAACTGGGTTGCCAGAGTTTTATACAACAATTAACGTACAGTACTCATCAAATTATACTTTCTTTTCACCCACGTCATGTTACCATTTTGTCATAAGATAAACTATTAATTAATCTGCTCCAATTTACCATTTCTAATAACAGCTGTCATTAATGCTGTTTCTAATAAATTAAATTATAGCCTTCCTTCTCTCTAACACAGATTTATACAATCTCCGATTCGTCATATTTCTCTCCCTCTCTAAATGTCTGAACCACCTCAACATACCTTCTTCAGCCCTCTAGATAACACTTATAGTAACCCTGTACCATCTTCTAGTTTCCAAGCTACGAATTGTCTGAATAATATTCACACCACACATTGTCCTCGGCCACTATATCTTCACTGTCTCCTTCTACACGCTATATTTAAAACCCACTGAGCTGTGAAATGATGACGTTTTGAACATGTTGGGAGAAAATGACACAGGTATATGTAATCATCCACGATTTCATAAGCCAATGTTAATTCTGATTTAAAGCAAATAGATTTGACTTACTATGCCAAAAAATCGTATTAATATAAAAATAACATTTTCATAACATAAGGACTCAAACTTACAAACCAAACGATGAAAGGTGAAGATATCGTATGTAGTACCGAAGGAAAATTATCCTACATATACAACAAATTATCACTCAAATGGCATCTATGGAATGTTTTGATGACTCACTCCCTTAGTGGTTCTCTATATGTTTTTTGTACGTCTTTTTCACTGCAGGGACTATTGATCTAGTGTGCTGGTGTGTCGTACCATTCCCCCTTGTTATTGAAGGTTCCTTCTTCTGAGTCTTCTAAGAAACTAAAAGCCAAAAAATGAAATCGAAAAAAACCCCCAAAGTATTTTTCTCCTATGCCAAATCAAAACGAGAACAACGCCAGTTTTGGGGCCCCCTACTTAAACAAGATGGTCCTACAGGGAGACAGCAAGGAAATGAGGAACTCTAAAGCCCAATATGACTAGTTTTTAGCAAGCCCTAACCAGGGCTGAGAGTTGAAGATCAAAAGAATTTTTTTTTGAGAGAGCCACAAAATTTGATGAACCAAGCCATCCGATGTTATCCCGACGCCCCAAAAGACTTCGAACGGGGAAAATGAAATGACCCGCACTCGCCCCGGGCCCGACTCGGAACTCTGTGTTCATCAAAACTCAAAACCCCCATCACGAGCCTTTTCCATCCTTGGAAGGGGGGATGGACACGGGGGTCGTCCCCCCTTACTAAAAACAACAATTTGCCCCCCCTCCACAAAGGGGGCAGTAAAGCAACAGCAAAGAACTACAGACCAATAGCACTAACATCCCATATCATAAAAATCTTTGAAAGGTTCCTAAGAAGCAAGATCACCACCCATCTAGAAACCCATCAGTTACACAACCCAGGGCAACATGGGTTTAGAACAGGTCGCTCTTGTCTGTCTCAACTATTGGATCACTACGACAAGGTCCTAAATGCACTAGAAGACAAAAAGAATGCAGATGTAATATATACAGACTTTGCAAAAGCCTTCGACAAGTGTGACCATGGCATAATAGCGCACAAAATGCGTGCTAAAGGAATAACAGGAAAAGTCGGTCGATGGATCTATAATTTCCTCACTAACAGAACACAGAGAGTAGTCGTCAATAGAGTAAAGTCCGAGGCAGCTACGGTGAAAAGCTCTGTTCCACAAGGCACAGTACTCGCTCCCATCTTGTTCCTCATCCTCATATCCGACATAGACAAGGATGTCAGCCACAGCACCGTGTCTTCCTTTGCAGATGACACCCGAATCTGCATGACAGTGTCTTCCATTGCAGACACTGCAAAGCTCCAGGCGGACATCAACCAAATCTTTCAGTGGGCTGCAGAAAACAATATGAAGTTCAACGATGAGAAATTTCAATTACTCAGATATGGTAAACATGAGGAAATTAAATCTTCATCAGAGTACAAAACAAATTCTGGCCACAAAATAGAGCGAAACACCAACGTCAAAGACCTGGGAGTGATCATGTCGGAGGATCTCACCTTCAAGGACCATAACATTGTATCAATCGCATCTGCTAGAAAAATGACAGGATGGATAATGAGAACCTTCAAAACTAGGGAGGCCAAGCCCATGATGACACTCTTCAGGTCACTTGTTCTATCTAGGCTGGAATATTGCTGCACACTAACAGCTCCTTTCAAGGCAGGTGAAATTGCCGACCTAGAAAATGTACAGAGAACTTTCACGGCGCGCATAACGGAGATAAAACACCTCAATTATTGGGAGCGCTTGAGGTTCCTAAACCTGTATTCCCTGGAACGCAGGAGGGAGAGATACATGATTATATACACCTGGAAAATCCTAGAGGGACTAGTACCGAACTTGCACACGAGAATCACTCACTACGAAACCAAAAGACTTGGCAGACGATGCACCATCCCCCCAATGAAAAGCAGGGGTGTCACTAGCACGTTAAGAGACCATACAATAAGTGTCAGGGGCCCGAGACTGTTCAACTGCCTCCCAGCACACATAAGGGGGATTACCAACAGACCCCTGGCAGTCTTCAAGCTGGCACTGGACAAGCACCTAAAGTCAGTTCCGGATCAGCCGGGCTGTGGCTCGTACGTTGGTTTGCGTGCAGCCAGCAG